TGAAATAATAGCTTTATGTTAATACTTCGTACGTAGAATACACATGAATCTAAAGCAGGCTAAAGAAATGTTGTTTTTACATAAAATGTAAATGAGATTTAACACTGTAAAAAGTTAAATATTACTAACATTAATATTTTATTCTCCATGGCAACTTCTCTACGCTTTGTCAGAACATGAAACGTCACCAATATGAAGGGGCTGATTCCCCCCAGAGAAGTCTGCTGTAATGCAGACTTCAGAAAGGAGGCATAAAGAGTGCACTGGGGGGTGCACATGAGCACCCTTGTGGAACACAAATTGGAAATGGGACACCATAAGCCCTTGCAGACCTGAGCGGGACCTCAGGTCTGCAAGGGTTCCCGCTCAAAGGAAAATCTTCCAAAAGCTCTTTCTGTCCATTGCTGTTTTGTTCCTGCAATGTGTTTACACATTAAAATTACAAATTTAATTACTTCCATTTATTTTAAGGGCACAAGACCACAAGTGTGGGTATTGGGACATGGACAAAATGTTACAGATGTATTCTTTATACAATTCTCTATTCTACGAAGCGTAGATTTGAAGATACACTATTTTATATTTGTTCAATATAGGCGCACAGAGGAGCTATAGCCTATTCCGGCAAACAACATGTGCCAGAATAAACACTGGACAGGACAAAAATCTTTCACAATGCAGACACAGACATGCACACACTCACACCTGCACCAGTTTTCCAGAAACCAGTTGACCTACCAGTGTCTTTGGACTGTGGGAAGAAACCAAAGCACCTACTAAAACTACTGCATTTAAGAACTTTGCATTAATATTATGTGCTACCTTAAGCTAAAATAGGTTATGCATTTATTTGTGTATCACAATTTACTAGTGACAAGAGAAAAATTGTTAAACATACCATTATACCACAATATATGAAGTACTCTATTAGAGGAAAATCTTCCAAAAGCTCTTTCTTTCCATTGCTGTTTTGTTCCTGCAATGTGTTTACACATTAAAATTATATATTTAATTACTTCCATTTTTTTTCAATCTCCTCTTCTTATCTTGAGCATGCATCTTTTCACATTTATGTACAGTATGTTTCTACTTCAATATTTACATATTGAATGACAAAGTTTTTCACCCATGGGTAACTGGTCATACAGTATAATGTCCCTCTTAAGACATATATGCAATATTTCTTTTTGGCATTGTACTATTCATCTAAAGCACCGCCATAAGGTCTCCATCTGTGCTGATTTGCAAGGTTAGATTCAATAGTTGTAAATTTCCTCATGTTTTGTTTGATCCACTTTAATTTTACAATGATTAAACAACTGCAGGACTATTTTAATAGCATATTTATTCCCATGAGTACCTGTGGACATCTTCTTTCAACAGAAGACAATTATCAAAAGAATTTTACTTCAGAAAGACCTCTTTTGTTTACTATTTAATGATGTCTATACTGTGTCTTGAACATTTTTTCAGACTCTTGAAAAGTTTTCACTATTTGTTGCTTTAAAGCTTGTAGTCATCATATTGCCATGTAGCAATTAATATATTTTATACACACCACCTACTCTGCACATTCAATCAATTGTACAACAAGAGGAGGTCATTCTAGTTGTCTGGCCACTTGTAGTAAATTGATCTGTGGATGTTATTTTTTTTAATGTGAAATATAAAAAATCCCTTTATGTTGCACCATTATTGTCAGCATTTTTAATATAACTATATCCTTTTTACCGAAGACTGCAAAATATTTGTACATGTCTATTAAGAAAACATATGAAAATGTTGCAAAGGAACAACAACTTTTCCATCCTACAGGATGATCCCTCCATTGGGGCCCTCTTTTCTGACCACCCCATCATCTCATATCGCCGACCACCTAATCTGAGTAACCTTCTTGTTCACAGCTCCCTCGACCACCCTCAGCATCTTGTACCTCCAGCAACCTTAATTACTGTATCTCTTGCAGTCAATGCCCAGCCATCTACATTGGGAAAACAGGAAGGAGACTCGGAGACTGGCTCAGAGAACGTTAGGGCTGTGAAGATGAAAGATTTCTCCAAGCCTTTTGTTTCTGATTTCACCTCTGACGGCCATGATCACACTAATCTCTCCATCTGTGTTCTCAAAGATGGTTTTCCTAACTCCCACATCAATAAGACTACAGAAACCAAAATTATTCTGCAGCTAGGATCACACCTTTCCTCTTTTCTCAACGACGGACTCATTTTCTTCTAAATTCTCTCTATTCATTGTAGGTTTCATTTCATACCTCCCTTCGCCTATCCTGACTTCACACCTCCTGATTTGCCATTCTTTCTGTCCCCTGTTCCCGCCTCTTGCTCCTCCTCTCTCCCAGCTGTTGTTCTCCTATGCTTCATTACCTTTGCCTACTGCCTGTCTTTCTCACACCTGAAGAATGCTCCACGGTCAAAACGTTGTGTTTTCTTTCTTCTCCTTTCAGCATGGAATAAACCTATTACTTGTTCATTTGCAGCCTATGCATGCTGACGCAGCTACCCACCTGAATCATATGAAAGTATTTGCAACTAACACAATACTAAAACTATTCTGAAATTCTGAACTAATACATTTTCAAACTAAAAGCATGATGGATTTGATTGCGAACCACAGTACCTTTTAACTATTAAAGTATTTAAGTAAAGCTTTGTTGTCTCCGAACTGAGCTCAACTTATATCCATCTCCACCGTAATCTTACACAGCCTACATCAGCCTAACATCTTCCCTGCAGCCATTACACACTCTGCGACTGCCATTCTTACCTCATGGTTAATGCCTAAAAGCTGTGACTGTGCCTTTCAGCCCCTGTAATGTAATGTGCATACATTATATGCCATCTTGGATTTCTATAACATTTTTGAGAACTGTGGGGGTCTAAAAATGATTTCAAGTATTTAAATTGCTAAGGACATGTGTCTGTGGCAGAGGTGTGTTAGCAATGCCATTTAGAAATATGGAAAATTCATAATAATATAATAAAGCTTTTATCAGCTTTTATCTAACCTTTAAGATTATTTGATTTGTATGCATGCACACAGAAAATTAATAGCAGAGGAAACTACATGAAAAGCACCCCATAAATATATAGCAAATACATTGTGCCTATCATAAAAAGGTGCTATTTGCTACAGCCAGCAGTTATAACCATGAAACAACTGACAAGTGCATTTCATAAACATAACTCATTTTGACTGCAGGAATCTCTTTTTTCAGTAGCAAATGAAGAGCATTTTTATATTAGCATGCACATCTATGCCCCAGTGCCAAACCAAGATAACATGTTATCTTAAAACCTGCAGGTGTTAGTAGACTCTCTGTAGGAGAGCTCCAGGAGTATCAAGATATTTAAGAAGGCATCACCTGCAAAACCGGAGATAAGGAAGCTTATCTTTCTGACATAACTCCCTTCTAACATAAATTTACTGTTAGTGATGTTCACTAACATAAATGTCCTAAGCCAAGGCTTTTAAACACGTTCAGTCTAATTTTCATTGTGAAATACCTAAAATAAGTTGTCTATCAATCATTTAAGTTTCTTTACAATTTTTCATCACTAGGCTGCACAAATGCTCCACTGTGCTGCACACAGAGGATGTACTTTTTGCATACAATTATGAAGTACTACATCAATCAAAATGAATTAATGGGGTATAAAGATGGATGGAATACTATATTCTCAGTTTGCTTTCTTCTAGATATAATGCATTCTGAGCTTCATTGGGATGCAAGAGAGACATGCTACGTATCTGAAAATATGTTGCACAAATGCTCTCAAGGTCAATGTTACTTCAATAAAAACTCATTCTTCTTTTTATGGATATGTTAAACCTCCAACTACACAACTCAACTCAAGGACTCACTGTCCTTGACCATGATGATTAGACCATGACTAGTTATATCACGTTTTGGCATAAGTGCTTTGCAATGGAACCTGCTTTATTTTGAATGATCTTGCTATTATGATTACTATACCTCATTTACCACTGTCCATGATCATAAGCCTTTCTATTACTTTCAAAAATCATTCACCATATTAATATTAATTCATCTTTCACTTAATGTTAAAGTAACCTTAAATGATACATATGGCAACAATTATTGAAAATTAAGGTTTTAAACTGTGGTCTCAAGACAAATATTTCCAATATTTAAATTTGGCTTTTTGTGTGTAAAAGTGCTAACTTTTACTTATGTCTCACTTTCTTGGCAAACCAAATACACATACAAAATAATTCAAAGTGACTTCATACCAGTCAACAGTTTGTATACCCCAGTGCTTTATATCTTACATTAAATTTCAATGTAGTTGCTATAATTGTAACAATCTAATTATAAATCAAAAGCACAAATCACTTTACATATATATTCCACATACTACAGACATCAGTGTAATACATACATCTTGCCATAAAGTTGATAGTGATAGTCACACCTATTCATCCAAAAAAGAAGTAGTTAAGTGAAGTAATTAAAGAAAAAAACAATGTTTATATTAGCATCTCCATACATAAACAGTATGCATGATGTTATATATATATACAATCTGTAATACAGCGAATGTATTGTAATTAATACCAGCTGTTCTTTGAAAGTCGATTTGATTAGTAAATATACTGAAAAATAAAAGTTTAAATATTTCACTTTCTCTAAGTTTTATATTCTCATTAATCAGTTTACTGAAAGGTAAACAGACCCAATTGGCATCATTATGTTATTGTAAAAAATGTTTTTTAAATACAGTTTGTATGTTGGGGAGAAACTATGTTGGTGGTTCTAATCTTGTGTACAAATATATGTTATAAATCAACACATATTTAACACCATTTAAAAATTCTACATCGAGTTTCAGTAGACACTACTGAATCCGTAACTGTTTCTAAGTTTTGTAAGATGTTGTTAGTATAATTTGCATCTAAAAACAGCCACTTGGAAAAAAAACTTGTTACAGTAAGTACGAGATACAGTTGACTGCGATAAATACCTGCGCTGAGGATCTGGGTGCAATCCACATTGTCTTGTCCAAGTGCGGCAGTGTACCTGGAGCTGAGATGCCTCGCTGGGGCGCCGACCCTGCGCGGACTGCTCACTGTCTCTGCTGCTGCTGCTGCTGCTGATGATGATGATGTGGATGTTGCCACTCTAGTGCTGGGCCCGTTGTCGTACGTGCAATGCTGCTGTTGATGTTCTGTGCTGCTAATGATGGAGGGCTGCTGAAGGTGTTGTTGTTGATGCTGGTTTTGATGATGATGCCCACCTCCTCCGGCTCCCAGCTGCGGGATATCCACCATGGTTGGTCTGTCATACCTCTTGCCTGTTGTCCGCTTGCAGGGGAAAGTCTTGAGGGCGCTGTAAGGGCTCCTTTGCTTGTAGATTTTGGGAACACAGGATCCTTCCTCAGCCTGCTGCATCTCCTCCTCCATCGCTTCGCTAGTTTCTTTGCTTTTCCTGTCTCGTCTTGTCTGGTCTAGTCCTTGTATGTGTCGCTCTCATCGGCACCTTGCTCAAAGACCGAAACGGGGCGCTACGTTACTGACAACCAGTCTGGCCAATCCCCAGACGAGAGAGCCGTGTTAATAGGCACTTGGAGTAATTCTACCAACAGGGAGATGCACGGGCGGAACCTGCTCCTTGTGCTCCCAACGTGATCCGTGCATACACGGGTCTCTCGCACTTCAAATCGCCGCTACAGAATGAATGTACAGTATGAAAAGACACAGTTTAAAGAAAAAACAGAAACAAAATCTAATTATATATATATAAATTTTAATTTTAATATAAAACAAACATAAGACAGGAGAAAAACCCCACGAGATACCTAACGTTGTGTCTACATGCACATTACTTTAGAAATCATACTTTTCGGGGTCAAGTGTGTTTTGGGATTAGAAATGCGCTGCAGCAGGTAAGCGCTCTACTTTCATAGTTTCAAAGAACAGCCTTCCCATTGCTTTGCTGCGCTCGGGTCTTTTTATTAATAACCAAAATCTTCACCCACCTGCTTCTTATAAACCACCTGTTAACAAAGTTTAACAGGTGTTTCCCCATATTCATCCCCGCTTTATGCATCACTGGCAATGAAGACGTGAAATATCATTCATTTCATGATAAGTAAAACTTTATTTTTTTATTCCATAGCCACTGACCATTTACTCTTATGAGCTTAAGTGAAAAAAAATAATACAATGCTTATTTGCCTGCTTATTTATAAGGAGAAAGAGGCAGAATAACGCTAAACAGTATACTGTAAAAAATAGTTAAAGGTCTTCGAAGTCTGTATATAAGAATTTGTATTACATTGGAGTAAAATTAAAAGTGCAAACTTCTAAGTATCACCAGTACAGCCTGAGTCTACCTAAAAATTGCTTGTAATTTGTAAAGGTAACTGTTATCCTGTTGCAGGGTGATATGCCAGCAGCCATATCACCCTGCAACTCACAACTGGCAACCCACTGAAGCTAAGCAGGTGTAAGCCTGGTCAGTACCTGGATGCGTACTGGGTCCTAATGCCCCAGTATAGTGACGGGGACACTATACCGTAAACAAGCGCCGTCCTTCGGATGAGACGTAAAACCGAGGTCCTGACTCTCTGTGGTCGTTAAAAATCCCAGGGCGTTTCTCGAAAAGAGTAGGGGTGTAACCCCGGCGTCTTGGCCAAATTTCCCATTGGCCCTTATCAATCATGGCCTCCTAATAATCCCCCTCTATGAATTGGCTACATTACTCTGCTCTCCTCCCCACTGATAGCTGGTGAGCGTTCTGGCGCACTATGGCTGCCGTCGCATCATCCAGGTGGATGCTGCATATTGGTGGTGGTTGAGGGGAGTCCCCATTACCTGTAAAGCGCTTTGAGTGGAGTGTCCAGAAAAGCGCTATGTAAGTGTAAGCAATTATTATTATTATTATTATTATTATTATTATTATCCCCCTGAAATTAAATTCTCACTTTTAGATCTGTTTTTGTTGTCTAGTAAATTAATTTGTGAAATTGAAGTACTTCCAACAAACCAAATTAAATATATATATATTAAAAATCCATTCACATTGATTTACTGACATAACATTGCAATATACTTTATTGTAGCAGTTCCAACTGCTGCAAATTGAATTGAAATGTTGCACAGGCATGGTCCTCTAGGGCAGGTCTACATTGGCCGGGTTCATCTGTGGCTCCTACTCTGGATATACAATGATGGGTTGATGGTTGTGATGAGACATTTCTCCTAAGACAAATTCAATGTATTCTCTTCAGCACAATGTGCTAGCCAAGTTAAACAAGAGTTAGGTATTGTATGAAGGTGATGATGACTAGTTGATGTACTGCAGCACTGTCTTTGAAAGTTAAGTGATTGGACTTGATTCAGTCCAAGCTCAAAGCTGAGAGACATGTAGTGTAGGAAGCCAAAGGTTGATCTGGGAACATCAGGAGTCAGGAGACAAAGCAGGAGGTCGACACAGCAAGCTGACAAGGCAAAGCAAGCAGACAGAACTAGAGGGGCTCTGTGTCGAAACTCAATGACAGAGATCAGGTATTTATACTGAATAGCACCTGGAAATTACATGGTCATTAACTAACTCCAAGTGCAGTCTCCAGGTCTGTGCATCTGCCAGCGAATCAAGACAGTTTGATGATGATGTCAATGGCTGCTGCCACACAAAGCAGCAACTGGGACGAGCATGATGAATACTAATTTAATAGATCCAATCTCTTTGAGATTTTATATTAGTTTGTACCAAAAGGACCCATATATAACTGGTAATCATATATTGCAAAGTTAACCAATAATTGAAAAGGAAAGAGAAAGGCATTGCTATTGCTACAAGAAAATGATTTACACAGTAAATCAGATTCAAAATATATCCAACATTAGTTTTAATTTGTTTCCATTAAGTTATTTAATAATTTTATCAATTTTTTCTGCTATTATGCCCTGCTAATTGCAGGGATTGGCTTCATTAAAAACTCCACAGTTCTAATACTGATCCTCAAAAACAAACTGCTTAACAACAACATATTTAGATTAAAATAAAGATATTGTCAGAACAAAGGCTAAATCTTGTTTGTAGCAGATATTGTTCCTGTTGTATTGATATTTTATTGAACAGAAGTTATCTAGGTATATTCATTATGGTGATTTCAGTCCAAATTTAAAGTCAGGGTCAAAGCCAAGAGATGTAGTATAGTCAACATGTCAACAACAACAGGGGGTTTGTTGTGAAAGCCACAGGCAAAACAAGTTTGACCATCACTGAAAGCAGTATAATCTGTTCACTGGTCGCTAAGCCCTAGATGCCACAAATTGCTGAATTGGATGAAGTTGCGATTAATCTATTTCAGGGTCACAGTGCAGCAGGAGCCTGCCCCAGCATGCAATGGAGGATACAACCTGGAGAGGCACACAGACAAACATGCATCAGGACCAATTCTTGGACTCAGAAGCTAGTTAACTTATCTGTTTGTTCTTTCACAGTTCAAAAACACACTGATAAGTTAACTAGCTTCTGGGAAGAATTGGTCCTAATGTACATGTGTCTGTGTTTGGAGCACCCAGAGAAATCCCATATACAAGTAGAACATAAAAACTGCTTGCAGTTGAACCCAGGGCCCCAGCACAGGAAGGCAGCAATGCTAACCACTGCACCACCATGCTACCTCCAGATCATACCGAAAATTTGTAATGGAGTTCAAATCTGATGAAAAAGTCATCCACAGCATATCTGCCACAATATAATCTTGCATGAAAGCTGTTGTTACACAAGCACCTTGAGGTTGTGCATTGATCTATTGGAATGTTTTCATACCAAGAAAAGCCTACAGCAATGCCAGCAAGTGAGGTTCTAGGACTCAATGTAACACCATGCATTCAGGTAACAATCACTACAAATTGAGTTTTGTAGCAACTAGAAATTCCTGCCCAATCACACTTGGACCTACCTATCATTTTTAGTCTATTTAACTGTACGTAACAACTAGTATATCATTCAAAATCTTGATTCACTGCCAAAGAGGATTGGTGTTTTAGGATTAAGAGGATTAAAAGGTTCCACTGCTAATGAGTTCCACATTTAGATGTTACTCCAACAAAATAATGGCAAAAAGCGTTATCGTCTATTCTTATAAACATCATTTAAGAATAAGTAATAGGTTTATTCCATGGTGAAAAAAAGAAGAAAGAGAACACAACATTTCGGCCGTGGAGCCTTCTTCAGGTGTGAGAGAGACAGGGCAGTAAGCAAAGGTAAAGTAGCGAGAGAACAAAGGTTGGGAGGGAGGAGGAGTGAGAGGCGGGAGCAGGGGACAGAAAGAAAGGCCAATCAAGAGGTGTGAAGTCAGAATGGGTGCAGAGAGGTGTGAAATGAAACTTCCAATGAATGGAGAAAATTTAAAAGAACAGTAGTCTGTCGTTAAGAGAAGGGAGAATGTGTGATCCTAGCTGCAGAATAATTTTGGTTTCAGTGGTCTTTCTAATGTATGAGTTTGGAAAACCGTCTTTGAGAACACAGACGGAGAGATTAGAGTGGTCGTGGCCATCAGAGGTGAAATGAGAAACAATGGGCTTGGAGAGATCTTTAATCTTCACAGCCCTGACGTGTTCTCTGAAGCGGTCTCCGAGTCTCCTTCCTGTTTCTCCAATGTAGATGGCTGGGCATTTACTGCAAGAGATACAGTAAATAAGGTTGCTGGAGGTACAAGATGCTGTCTGGGTGATCCAGAATTGTCATGAGGGGCCTTGAATGAGTGTGGTGGTGGATGTGTACTTGCAGGTGATACAGCGAGCTCTGTTGCAAGGGAAAGTGCCTGGTGTGGATGGTTGTTGAGGGTGGTCAAGGGAGCTGTGAACAAGGAGGTTATGCAGATTAGGTGGTCAGCGATATGAGATGATAGGGCGATCAGAAAAGAGGGCCCCAATGGAGGGATCATCCTGTAGGATGGAAAAGTTGTGCTTAATGGTCCTGGGGATAGGAAGTGTGTTAGGGTGGTAATGCAGTACCAAAGGAATGCGGTTGTTACGGTGGTAGTTCCTGATCGGGTTGATGGTCCGGGGGGTGTTTTTGGCTCAGGCAAGGGCCCTGTCAATCACACTGCTGGGGTATCCTCTGTTGATGAAAAAGGAGTACATTTCGAGGGCTTGGTTCTCGAAGTCGATGTTGTCGCTGCATAATCGCCGTAGCCTAAGGAACTGTGAAAAAGGAAGAGAGTTTTTTGTGTGGTTGGGGTGAAATGAGGTGAACAGGAGGTAGCTGTGTGAATCCGTGGGTTTGTAATAAACTGAAGTGGACAGTCGGGGGTAGTTGATGGAGAAGTTGATGTCTAGAAACGGAAGAGTAGTGGAAGATATGTTAACCATATATTTGAGGGACAGGTGGAAGTTGGTGAAACAGTGCAGGAAGAACTCAAGCTGATCGTTGGAGCATTTCGTGGCACCGACGCAGTCATCAATATATCGTTTGTAGAGGTCAGGGACATAGCCAGTGTAGGAAGCGAAGAAGCGTTCTTCTACCCAGCCGAGGTCAGGGACATAGCCAGT